AAGAAAGCGTAGCAAAAAAGTACGTGCTACTTTCTGCTTAATTGCTTAACAGAATAAACTACTGAACAGAAGTAACGTACCCGAAATCGTCAAGTGTTATGGCGTCGTTGTCGTTCAACAACGACGACTGATGACGTTCGGTCGAAGACGTGCATAAGACCTGAAGAAAATGGCTTATAAACCAAAAATACACACGCGCATAAATAACAAACACGTACGCTTTCTCTTGGTTTCAACACCAACCTTTTAACGTTGTTCTTCGGAACGAATCCCTCGCTGAAACTATACTTGGTTTCGTCAACGTCGTTCAGCTTCGGTGACATTCCCTATTCGATTATCAGTATGAAGGTCGTCGCATGTCATTAACAAATTAGTCGATACATTAACAGTCCGCATGGGCGAGACGGATAGAAGCAGACGAGGACTAGATCTAACGGGTGGCAGAGGCTTTAGGCTGCGGGCGGTGTCACTCGATAGCTTATTCAGTAACAACTGTTGAGCGGCTTTGTCCGTTGGGCTTGGAAATGAATCGCGCTTCTCGCTCAAGATTTTTAATAGAGGGCTTTGGCCATACGGCGAGGTAGCCATCGCCAATAGCTGCGACCGCACCAACGCCTCCTGTCCCGCTAATGCCGACGCATCCCTAAAAGCATAAATGCTGATATATTTGCAGCAAAAACATGTGGCAACATACGCGCCGCTGATGGAGAAGGGAGTCGTCCCACTACCAAGGACCGATGAGCCTCCGCCAAAAGTAAAGTTACCTGAAAACACAGATGCGTTGGCTTTTTCACAGCGTTTCCAATAATTTATTAAAAATTAGTCACTTTGCGTGTTCGGTGTAGAGCCAAACGACCAGGTTGGCTTGGTCTGTGACGAAAAAAGGCCTCCAGCATTGGTCGACAACCCTCCACCAAAAAATGGCGTCGCAGCGGTAGTGGCCTGCTGCGGAAACGCGCTTCCAAACAATGGTTTCTGCTGCGACTGAGCGCTTCCAAATAAAGATGGTTGTGCTAGAAAAATTCACAAAATATTCGTTTACATAAACTTAGGAAACAATGGAAAATATAACTACAATGAACGCAAACCAATAGATTCATAATATGAAACAGATACCTTAACGGAAACATTTACGACCATATTTGATTCAGAAAACATGTGCCTTTTCATTAAGTGTGTATCAATAGGAATCTCTAATTAAATGGCTAAATGAATAATGTTAATCAAGAAAAGAAACTCTCACGATTTGAAACATGATAGATCTTTCCTAACACAGCAAGAAAAATGGCAATGGTAATGGGAATTTACATTCTACTTTATTGAATAAATTGTACTTAGGATGAATAGATACTAAATTTTCAAACATTTTCGCATTGCATTTTCCACCTGTAGACATAAGAAGACGCATTCTGACAAATTCATCTCATTCTTAATTTCATTATAGCGAAAATCTTGAAGGGATCTAAACTCAGAGTGCAGCACATTAAAACAAACAATGTAAATAATTACTGGCTGGGTAAGATTTTCATGAAAGGAAAAGCAGACAATCTCACTGCTATATTTATCTTCTAAAAACTTATAAAAAATATCTATTTTTGTATCCCACAGTTAATTTTGTCGTTAGTCTAAAAAGTTAATTTTTAAA